GCCTTGCGCTGTGCCTGTAGGACGCCCCCTGGTGCGGGGACGACGTCAGATGGGCGCATGCACAGGGGCTTCGGACCACCTGCCCCTGAGCTAGCCCTCAGTACCCCTGCAATCCCATTCGTCCCCCAAGCTGCGCACCGACTGCGCTCGACCTCAGCCCCGGCCCTGCCCCCAGGTTCCACACAGCTGCACCCCAGCTTCCCGCCGGCTTCCCACCTTGAGGTCCTCCCCAATGCCCTGCAGGATCGACACCAGCCTCAGGGTGTTCACCGCCAGCTTGGTCGAATCCACAAACCCGATGCCTGAGGCGGGGCCCGCCAGCTGGGCAGGCGGGGGGCGGGCAGCGGGGCGCCGCGTGAAAAGGAGCGGAGGGGGGACGCAAGGACAGGGGGTGCATTGGTCTCGAATGCATGGCACGAGTCAATGGCCTACAGTGGTGCACGTCGGCAGGGAAGACAGCATGTGCGCGTTTTGATACGGGGATGCCCAGGGGCGGGCCGCCCGCTGCTCCCTGCGTGGCACGCCGACCGGCCAACCCGGCCGCGTGCCCAACAACACCAAAGCACGAGCGCGGAGCTGCAACACCAGGCGTCCCGCGCTCGCAGCAACCTCGCGCCACCCCCGCGGCCTCGCCCAGCTGCTTCGTATTTTCCCTGGCCGCCAAGAGGCCCAGCGCCCGGCGGGGCCCCACACCTGCTGCACGGCTGCCAATATCGCGTCTCCGTCCGTGGAGTACTTGCGGGCGGTGACCACCACCGCCCCCAGGGCGCCCGCCTCCGCCAGCGCCTGGATGGCGTACCAGCAGCCTGCGCGGCGGCGGCAGGGGAGTGGGGGTCGATCATTGTGCATGCGAGGGCATGTGGGTGCGTGTGAGCGTGCATGCGTGTGTGTTGCGGAGGGTGGGGGGCACGAGCAGCAGGCCAGGTTCGTGGCTCAGCACGACATGATTGGACTTGCCGCAAGGGCCATTACGTGCTGTAAAACCATGCGGCTTTTGTTTCAGGTGCGGCAGTCTCGCGGGCGTGCGCTTGAGGGAAACGCATCCAGTCAAACACCGCGGCGACGCGCCCCCCCAGGGAGCCTGGCTGTCAACGCAGCCCCCTGCAAGCTTAGGGTTCAAGGGTTCAGAGTTTGACACCTAAACCATGAGCTGTGAACCCTAGACACTTCGGCGGTTTCTCACCTGCAAAGTAGGCGAGGATCTGCAGGGCTATTCCCCAAGCCGGCAGGCCCGCCTGCCCGAGGCCGCTGCCGATTGTGAAGGCGCCGGTGGAGCACACGACGTCCAGCAGCAGCTGCGGCGGCGTTGCAGCGTGTGCGGACGGGCCGGCTCTTGCCGCTTGCCGGGGCAGGATGGCCAGCGGTGGAGGTACCACAACACAGGTGTCGCAGGATATCACCCACATGCATCCACTTGAGCTGCCTCTTCCAACATGTCCCGCTGAACGCCACCATGATATCCACAACTGCGTGACCATCGACGGGCTGACTCATCGTGCATCGCGCGCGTCCGACGCATGCGAATCGCTCGGCCGAAGCGCGCCCCGGGTCAAACCTGTGCCCCGAGCGTGGACACGGGCTTGAGGGACCTCTTCAGGAGGAGGTCCTTCAGCTCCTTCTCATTCTTTGCCCCGAGCTCGGCCCAGGTCTGCGGTCGGTTGGGGTTTGGGGCGCGGGGGGTGGCGGCGGGATGCACGCTGAGGTAGAGGCGCACGCCTGGCTGCTGTCGCACGCTCGGATGCGCAAAAAGGGACTTGAGCCGGCGGGCTGTCTGGGATTAACGAGCACACACGCCAGCTCGGCCCGGCGAGAGGACGATATCCAAGTATGCCAGAGCTGCACGGATAGCGCCGCCAGCCGCAGAGGCCAGGGTGGGGTCACGCTTGAGTTTGCGTATCGGGCCCGCTGGCGGTGCCGCCCACCACTTCCAGCGCCCCCGATCGCCGCCTCACACCTTGAGCGTGAGGCGAGCCGCCTGTGGCGACATGCCGCGCTCCTTGAGCGCCTCGAGCTGCTTCGCGACCAGCTGCTCAAACCTTTACAGAGTGGTGGGTGTGAGGCATTTGAAATGGGTGGTGGCACGAGGCGACCTCAGATGCCTGGGACACCCCGCCCACCCCCCAAAAATGCTGTTGCGTCTGCGTCGCCGCGGCCTGCTGAGCTCAAAGGCTTTTTGTTAAGTTCAGTGTGGATGCATGCGGATGCGGGACAGCCGGCTGCACCTGTTTGGACTGGGCAGACTCATCATGCAGCCGCACAACCTGACAAGGCGCGCATGCTGCGTCGCAGTGGTGCGCTGTCTGCATGCGGCATGCCATGCTAGAGCGCGATCCGAGCGTGCCAATTGCATCTGTCAACTACCCACTTTTTCCTCTTGGCGTCGTCCTGCTCCTCTCCTCCTTTCTTTGCCGCACGGACAACCACGGACTGCCTGGTCCGGCATGACACGACGGCTGGCGAACGCAGCGAGTGAACTTGCTGCCTAGTCACAGACTGGAGCCCGCGAGAGAGGTTCATCTGGCCAGGGTCGGATCTCTCGTGTCTCGGAGGTCTCTGGATGTGGGAGTGCACTCAGATGTGAGCAAGGTTTGGGCGGGGCAAAAAAAATACAAGCATCGATCCAATAAGCTTGGATTTTCTGGTTGCATCAGAAGCGTCCCCAAGGTGGACCGCGCAAGCATGACGGCGTCACTCGGCGGTAGCCCGGTGCCTCTTGTGTCGCTCGCTTGATTTCTGCACTCCTGGCATGCCTGGCAACCATCACGGCAGTGCAGTGTCCTGATCCACATAACAGATATCACGCGCAGCAATATTCAGGGTGACATGGAAGGTGAGCTCACTGCATGGCAACGCTGGTGCCGGCCCCCTCCTCAGATGCATGCGCACGCGCGACATCTGGCCCCACAGTGTTGCCCCAGGAGCAAATCCAGGATGATGCCTCAAAAGACGGCAACAACAAGATTTGTCCTGCCGCTTCCATGCGGGAGGGGTACCGTACATCAAAGGCACCTAGCAAAGGGTGGTCAAGGCATGTCAGCTAGGGAGAACCCCGCTGACTGGCACCCAGTTGTGCTGGTGTGCGCGGCGGAACTCGTGCCACCCCTTCACGGACACCCCATTTGCAACAGGCAGGCAAATACGGACATGTACGCATGTTGCTGCAGTGGTGCTGGAGCATGCCGCACATGTCCTGCAGGGCTCGTCCCCATGCCTTGCCTCAAGGCACGACATGTATGGATGCGGCTGGTCCTTGATGTTGAACACATCCACATTTGTTGTTGGCCGACCGTGGCATTGCGCACGATGGGTGCCGCCCGCTGTGCCACCTGTGGAACCGGCCTGTGGTCTGAGAGACACTGCACCTCGGCATGGGCACCGCTGTTGGTCTGCACAGAAATCGGCGGTTCCAGAATCCAGGTGTAGAGTAGCCCACGTGCATAAGCGTCGGACTCAGAAGCTTTGAAGCGAGCTGATACGCTCAGTTGCATCTCGAACTGCTGTCACCGTGTACCGTGAGAACGACGAGCCGATCTGTTGCTGCAGGACGCACCTCTCCGTTCGGTGCCATTAGCTGTATATATCTTGGAGTTTAACTTGAGACGGTGCCTCGTCAAGTAAAAGAGCACAGCGACGACATACTGCAGTGTGCTCGTAAAAGCCAGCTCGAGAGAGAGCAGGAAACATGGCTTCGGAAGCTGCAGAGGCTCCTGAGACCGTCAAGGTCACAGCCGAGCAGCTGGGCATCGCGGCCATGTGAGTTGCAGGCGTCGGCACTGCGGCCGCCGCCGCCTGCGCTCGACCATACCGCCGCCGCCATGCCGCCGCCGCTTTCGGCTACCGCGCTCTCCCCAGTGCATGCATGCTGGGAACATCTCTACATCTGACACGCCCCCCGTGCCCCTTGCGTCGCGGCCGCGCGCCCCTCACGCAGCGACCCTCTGGAGCAGCAGCTTGAGTTTGACCTCGGCAATCTGACCGCCTTCGACCCGTCCCCCGTCGACGCCGCCGCCTACGCGCACCCGCACCGCGATGCCACGTGCCTCGCCGCCGCCACCGCGATGGCCCAGGCGCTCGTGTCGAAGCTCTTTGCGCTGCCGTCGGAGTCCGTCACCGGCGGCCGCCTCGTGCGGCTGCCGGCGCCGACCACGCAGCTGCCGCGGGAGAAGCCGGTGCCCAAGGTCAAGGCGATGACGAAGTGGCAGCAGTTTGCGCAGAAGAAGGGCATTGTCAAGCGCAAGCGCAGCAAGCTGGCGTTTGACGAGGATGCGGGCGAGTGGAAGCGGCGGCACGGCTACAAGAAGGCGAACGACGATGCGGCAGTGCCCATTATTGAGGCCAAGGCGGGCGACCAGGTGGGCTTCGACATGCACGCGCTGGCAGATGTGCGTGTGTGCATGTGTGCCTGTTTGTGTGCACGGTTTGTGTAGGTGTGTGCGTGCGTGCGTGCGTGTGTGTGTGTGTGTGTGTGTGTGTGTGTGTGTGTGTGTGAGGGAGAGAGAGAGTATGTGTGTGTGTATCTGTCTCTGTGTGTGCGTGCAGAACATGAGTGTGCAGTATCAGCACCCAAGCCAATCAGGCTGTCCTGGTCGGTCCGCTCGATTGGCTTGGCCGCTAGGCTCAAACCCCGACCGCTGCCCCTCGCCCCACGCCAACCCTGCCCGCCGCCATTTTGTTGTGACAACTCCCCGCAGCTCGGCGAGGACCCATTCACGCGGCTGCGGCAGGAGAAGCGCGACCGCGTGAAGAAGAACCAGGCGCAGCAGCTGGCCAACGTGCAGGACGCAGCCAAGGGGGGCAGCGCGCTGCCGCCGACGCTGCGGCTGGCGGCGTCGCTGCCTGAGAAGGGGCGCAGCAAGCCCGTGAAGCGGAAGGAGCTGAAGGCAGAGGTGCGTGCTCTTGCAAACATGCATGCCTGCGTGTGTGTGTCAGTGTGTGTGTGTGTGTGTGTGTGTGTGTGTGTGTGTGTGCGCGAGCGCATGCACGTGCGTTTGTGTGTTAGAGTCTGTTCGCACGCACGTTTGCATGGGGAGTGGCCGTCGGCGCATGCAGGGGTTTCTGAGAGTAGCAAATGGCAGGCGGTGTTGACAGAGAGGGGAGCGTGCCGCATAGGCATCGACGCCCTTGACTCAGCGGCAGTGTTGCACGTTGCTCTTGTCTCGAGCGTGTCGCATACTCCCACGCCCTGCCATGCCTCGGCGTTGCAACCAAAAAAACATCACCCTGGCCTGCAGATCAAGGGCGCGTCGCGCCTGGCCGGCGTCTCGACGGCGAGCCAGGGCAAGTTCGACAAGCGGCTGGCCGGCGAGAAGGAAGGCGAGCGGTCGCTACTGGGCAAGCGGCGCAAGTTCCTGCCTGTCACTGACACGGCGGCGGAGAAGCGGCTCATGTCGGGCGCGGCGGACAAGCTGCTCCGGGAGCGGGTGGACGACATCTTGGACATCCAAAAGGCGATCGGCAAGTTCGAGGCGTCGGCGCGGGAGGAGCGGCGCGCTGGCAAGTCTGCATCCGGCGGCGGCGACGACGGCGGCGGCGGGAAGAAGGGGAGGGGAGGCGGCGGCAGGGGCGGCGGCAGGGGGGGGGGCAAGAGCGGCGGCAGGGGCGGCGGCAGCGGCAAGAGCGGCGGCAGGGATGGCGGCGGCAAGGGCGGGCTGAAGGCCAAGGGTGGCGTGAGCAAACGGGGCGGCGGCAAGGGCGGGCGCGGCAAGCGGTGACCCCTTTGGCACGACGTGTTATGGTCACAATGCGGCGAATGCATCGACTAGGGAATGACACGGTGGAATCAGCAGCGCTTCACATTGTTGCAGGTGGAGTTGGCCAAAGCTCCTCAGGTTGCGAGGCAGGTGTGGCACAAGCGTCATCTCTGCGCTGCGGTAGCGTACGGTAGAGTGAGCACATGAAAAGCCGGGACATACAGTGCCACGAAACATATCGTGCGCACATTATCAATACATGACGCAGCTTTTATACAGCTGCCAACCCGGAACGAAGTGACCTCGATCTGCAGTAGATCACGCTCTGCCTAGGTCAGAGGCGTCACCGAAATGCTTGCACACTCTTGGTAACGAATTGATAGGTGTGCCAGCAACATGATCAAGGTGGGAGGTCAAGTGGTTTGACTTGTCGATGGCCAGCCGCGGCCCCGACGTCTTATAATGGTCATGTGCATGCCACGCAGAGGGGACTCATAGAAAGACAGGACCCTGAACGAGCAGCTGGCAGGTGCGAGCAACTGTGGCAGTGCCGCCGCCACCGCTGCTGCTTGCTGCACGTGCCTGCCCTGTTTGCTTGTGGGTGCTGCTGCTCCTACCCTCGCTGACGGCCAGCCCCGCGTGTAGGGACTCAACACGCAAGAGCCGAAGCAGCAGCGACAAAAGCAGCGGCGGCACGCCGGGCGCCGGCTTGGGCGACAATGACCCGCCGGCAGCTGGCAGCTTCGACGTGCGCAGCTGGTCCAGCCAGGCCGCCGCCAATCTAGTGGGCCTGGCTGATGCTGGACAATACAAGAGCCTGGCGCTGCACGCAGGTACGTCAGCAGGGCGCCGCTCCACCATACGCGCCCACTGCTGCGGCGGCCGCTGCACCCGTGCTTGCAAACCACTTGCACACTGCAAGCGCGCCGTTCAACGGGGCGCCCAGGACCGCGGTGGCGGAACCCAAGCTGCCCGCCCCTCTGGTCTAGCCGCGCATTACATCGCCGTGCGCTGCGCGCGTGCGCAGAGGTGCGGCTCGCTGAGGCCTTGGAGAGGTGCGGCCAGGCGGGGCCCCCAGAGTGGGAGGCGCAGGGTGGCCGCCCGCCACCCAACCGGCTCCGCACCGCGGTCTGCTGCCAGGTAGGAGGCGCCCCGCCGGCTGGGCCCGCCCTGCGAGTCCTCAGGCACACACCCCCTCCCCCCCCCCCCC